TGAGATCCTGGTAGTGAATCTGTAATACAGCTCATGGAGGATCCTGATGTATTGAGTTTGAATGCCTTGTTTGGCTAGGGCTTCGATGACTGCTTCAGTCTCAACAGAATCAAAGGCCTTCTTTAAATCAATAAACGTTAGACAGAGTGGCATCTTGAACTCCCAAGAGACCTCAATGAGCTTGGTTATTTTATGGATATGGTCAATGGTGCTGAATCCTTTGCAGAACCCTGCTTGGTTGTCCTTCATCTAGTGTTCTGCCAATCCTATTCAGGATGACTCGAGTGAACAGCTTGTAGAAGACAGACAACAGGCTGATGGGGCAATAGCTGCCAATGTCGTGGATGTCTCTCTTCTTATACAATAGAACAGTCCTGCTGGTTTTCCACTGGGACGGAACCTTGCACTTAGACAGGTTGTGTGTGAAGAGCCGAGCCAGTGTATTGATGAGTACTAATGGCAGGTTCTTCAGGTGTTCGGGTCTGACCTTGTCTGGGCCGGGTGCTGTTTGCTTCTTTACCAACAAAATTGTTTCTCCCCACTCAGTGAAGTAGAATTTTTCACGAAGGAGATGGTGGTCTGATCCCCTTTGGAATTTTGGGGCAACAGCGATATCGGTCAGGCAAAACCGTCGATTGAATATGATGTGATCTGTTTCATTGTGAAACCGTCCACCGGGAGACTCCCATGTCCAACGTTTAGATTCAGCCTTCTGGAACTGTGAGTTACCATGGATGGTCTTGGTCGACATGATGAAATCAGATAGTCTCTCACCCTGTTCATTCCATTGTAGGCCATGTGTCCTGATGTGGATTTTTCAGCTGATCTTCTCAGTCCTATCTTAGCATTAAAATCACCAACAATGATCTTGTAGAAGGTGTGATCTTACACGGGGCCTCACGAGATGGGGGTGGAACCAGCCCTTTCCTCCCCATCCCAACGAGACCCCAAGTTACCACCCACAAACGGCCTCTCTGACTCCTGATCAAGCTGCTTAACGGCCATGATCTCAAAGACTTGGTAACAAATCTTGGAACCTAGCAAGTTTGGGGAAGAAATCCCTCCAGATTTAATTGTTAAAATTTTAGAATTTCAAAATTGCAGCCACTACTGCAGCCACGCGACAGCATATGCTTTTCATAACCAGCAATAAAAAACAAATTGTCTACTGTTGCCTTTTCAGCAGATCTGAGTGTTGGGGTAAAATCCCAAATAATAATGGTGGGTCTTGTGTCAAAATATTGTGTCAAAATATTAATAGTGAATTAATCAAAATAGAGGGACAGTAATTTGGAAGTCATCTGCCCCACAGGTAGGGGGAGGGTGTGGAATGGGGGTATATTGGGGTTTTTGGTGGTGGAGAATGGGCATTGGTAAAGGTACGGGTGTTTTATTGTATGACCAAGACTTAAACTGGAACGCTTTGTAACTGCTCTCACGGTGATTCAATAAATAAAATTATAAAAAAATAAAAAGTAAGGTGGAGTTCATGTACAATTCAATCAGCCTAATCAGTAGCTGAATAAATAGCAGTACACCTACATTAAAAAAAATCCCCACCCCAACGAGACCCTAAGTCATCGCCCACAAACGACCTTTCTGGCTCCTGATCAAGCTGCTTAATGGCCATGATCCCAGACACTCAGGAGCAAATCTCGGAACCCAGCAGGTTTGGGTAGAAATCCCTCCAGATTTAATTGTTAAAATTTCAGAATTTCAAAATTGCAGCCACTACTGCAACCACGTGACATCATATGTTATTCATAACCAGCAATAGAAAACAAATTGTCTACTGTTGCCTTTTCAGCAGATCTGAGTGTTGGGGGAAAATCTCAAATAATAACGGTGGGTGTGGTGTCAAAATATTGAATGTGATCAAAGTAGAGAGAGAGAGTAATGTGGAAATCATCTGCCCCACAGGTAGGGGGAGGGTGTGGGATGGGGGTATACTGGGGTTGTTGGGTGTGGAGAAGGGGCACTGGTACAGGTGTTTCATTGTATGACCAAGACTTAAACCCGAAAGCTTTGTAACTGCTTTCACGGTGATTCAATAAATGAAATTATAAAAAATGAAAAAAAGGCGTGTCCTTCTTTATAAGAACTTCTCCAGCTCCATGTAGAACTTCTCAGTTTCTCCATCATGATTGGATGGGCTGGAGCGATAGCACAGCGGTAGGGTGTTTGCCTAGTATGCCGCCAACCCAACCAACCAGGGTTCAATTCCTCTGCCCCTCTCAGAAAGCCTGGTAAGCTACCAAGAGTATCTTGCCCACACGGTAAAGCCTGGCAAGCTACCCGTGTTGTATTCAATATGCCAAACACAGTAACAACAAGTCTCACAATGGTGATGTTACTGGGCCCGCTCGAACAAATCAATGAACAGCGGGAGGATAGTGACAGTGACAGTGACATAATTGGATGTTGGTGCATAGACAACGAAGATAGAAACTGCTGGTAGTGAGTCACATCTATTCAAGTGTAAACATCTGATTCGGGTTGTTAGGCATTTGAATGAATCAATGTTCATGGCCAAGTTCATGTTGACAAGGACACCAACACCCCCAACACCTCTTTTGTCACATGTTCTGAGGAACAGTTCTTCTCCAGTGTCAAAAATGGCATGATGTGGTTGATGCCTTCATGTCTTAGTCAGACCAATGATGTCGTACTTGATCTTTTGCGCTTGCACCATCAGGTCCTCCATGCATGCATCCAATGCCAGCGTATATGCGTTGAAAGTACAATCATTTTAGTCCTTCTTCATTTTGGCAGCCTCGTTCGGCCTTGAAATTTTATCAGTCTCTCCTTCCCATTCTTCTTAACGCTGCTGTATTGGTGGCTCTTTCAGGGTCAGGGGAATGAGACCCATTGTATTTACTGTTTTTGGCATATCAAATACACCACGGATAGCTTGCCAGGTTCTGCCTTGTGGGCGGGATACTCTCGGTAGCTTGCCAGGCTCTCCGAGAGGGATAGAGGCTTTTAGGGTGGCCTCTAATCGCCCTTGCAGGTGTTTCCATGGTTCAAACCATATTTGAACCTCATAAAATATGGTGCCATAATCTTGGAAGATGGGTATTAGGTGTCTTATGATGTGCGGCTTTGCGGCCTCGTGGTCCAGAAAGCAGCCTGGAGTGTGGCGGCGGCTGGGTAGTGGAGATAGTGTAGGTAGTGGAGGTCTGCTGATGAGGTATTTATCTGGTGGGGCTTCTGGGTTTGATCCCTGAGTCACCGGAAATTGGTGGGAGCAGGCAGAGGATCTCTGTTTCTGAGTCCCATTGAGCCCTGGAGTCCAAGGTCACAAAGTTCCCCTTACCTGGTTCTGTGGGGCTTCACTCATGTATGAGTTTCGGCCCGAGCATCCAGAAAGCGGCCTGGAGTGTGGCAGCAGCTGGGGAGTGGAGGTATTGGAGAATAGGAAATAGTAAGAATACAAAATCATACAAAAAAATACAAAATCAGACCCAGGGGATAACTTAGAAGTAAAAATGTGTGACTTACAATTGTGAGGCTATAAAGACATTCCCGGTTGCCATCCACATGTACATTCCCTGACTTTTTCCTGCGGCTCCACTGTCTGGAAGCCCCAGTACCACAATAGTGTGTGATTTTCAGTACAAACATCCCAGCTAAAGTGTGTAACCCCCAGAAAATATCACAACAAAAAGTTGTGCAAGTACCGTAGCCAAGAGTATGACTCCCAGAAAGTATTTTTATGAGTCCCACATAAATCCATGGCAAGAACTACTACCAGACATGTGTAAATATCACAACTATATGTGCTGTGAAGCACCAAAACTAATGTAGGGTTCCCTAGCAGGTCCCACACCAAGTGTGTATATGGTGCTCCATCATAACAACAATAAGGTAAACAACAATAAGGTAAAGGATGGGGGGAAAGAATATAATATACATACAAAGTATGTGTGATTACTGTTTAATAATACATGGTTAACAGTTAATAACTGATTAAGTTTGATTAGCAGTTAATTATTAACTATTTTAATATTTGATATTTCTAGTCAACAGTAAGCTATTAAGAGTTTGGGGGAAATTAAAAGTTACATAAAGATTTTCCACTGAAAAAGTCCTATATCATAAACTATATGTTTATATTATCAAATTCATTTTTAAGTAATACCACTAAGATGAGAGCTTGTTTGGAGGCTCTAGCAGGGGAGCACAGCTACTCGTATAACCTCAACCAAAGACTGATCCCTCTTTATTCGGGAAGACCATCCTCTTTGACTGAGTGTGCAGCTTTGGGAGGGACACACATGGAGCGGTGAGGGAGGAAGGGAACACCTGCCTAGCCAGCCAGATCAACCAAATCAACCCTGGCGATCAATGGGGTGACAGATGTCACAGCCAGATCGCCCTCACACCCACTCATCATAAGACACTCAATACCCATTTTTCATTATTACCGCACCATATTTGATGAGGTTCGAATATGGTTTCAACCATGGGAACATCTGCAAGGGCAATGAGAGACTGCCCTAAAAGCCTTTATCCCTATCGGAGAGCCCAGCAAGCTACTGAGAGTTTCCCGCCCACACGGCAGAACCTGGCAAGCTATCCGTGGTATATTAAATATGCCCAAAACAGTAAATACAACGGGTCTCATTCCCCTGACCCTGAAAGAGACCCCAATAAACAAACGGTTTGAGGCTCTTCATGTTCCTGGAGCGAGCAGATGCCATTGGGCTACACTAGCACTCGATAGGGATGAGTGGAGACGTTACTGGCGCCCACTCAAGCAAATCAATGAGTAATAGGATATCAAGTTATCAAGTTATCAAGTGACCACTAAGATCCTTAATAGAAAAAAGTGCGTGTTTACTCCATTAGTCTTTTGGAGTAAAGATATAAGACTCTTCCAACAGTTTCCGTCTTCCCATTTCCTCCTTCCCAGGTTTTGGTATTTGCATATCTTATCTTATGTAAATAAGAGGTCCAATAGATAGCACAGTAGGTAAAGCATGTGTTTTAATATTTTTTTAGGGTGCGTCAAAACTTTACTTTGAGGCTGAACAATCAGCATGTCTCAGCAGCTGCACTGTCACCAGCCACACACAGGCTAGGCACCCATTCACCCCTACTCTCCAGCGGGGCCTCCCAACTCACTAGTGATGGAACTCCTGAGAGTCATAGTTGAAGCTGAGTAGGAAACAGCACCTGATGGTGTTGAGATTCACCTGGTGCACGTTGATGGAGAGGAACATAAAGCATTTGTTTTATATGCAACTGGACTGGATACAATCCCCAGCACCGATATGATCCCCTGAGTTTTGTCAGGAGGCATCCACAAGCAGAGAGCTAGGACTTGTTTGATACTGGTAGGTGTGGCCCAAAAAACAAAAATAAGAAATTATAAATCTATAAAATTCCAATGTGTAGATGTACCAAAGTTTCTTTAACCAGTCATCTGTTTTCAGGCACTTGAGTTTTTTCCAGATTCTGGCTATTGTAAATGGTGCTGCAATGAAATACAAGTACAGATGTCATTTCTACTATACTTTTACACAATGAAATACTATGCAGCTGTTAAAAAGGACAAAGTCATGAAATTTTCATGTAAGTGAACCAACGTGGAGAGTATCATGTTAAGTGAAATGAGTCAGAAAGAGAGGGACAAACATAGAAAGATTGCATTCATTTGTGGACTATAAAATAACAGAATAGGAGACTTACACCCAAGAATAGTAGAGATGAATACCAGGAGGATTGCTCCACAGCTTGGAAGCTGGGCTCATATGCTGGGGGAAAAGGCAGCTCAGATAGAGAAGGGACCACCAAATATGGAGTGCTTGGAGAGCCCACCCAGGATGGGAGATGCGTGCTGAAAGTAGACTGCAGAGTGAATGATGGCCAATCAATACCTCTATTGCAAACCACAACACCCATAAGAAAAGAGAGAGAGCAAAAGGGAATGACCTGACACAGAGGTGGGGGTGGGGTCGGGGATGGGGTGGGGATGGTGGGAGGGATACTGGGATCATTAGTGGTGGAGAATGGGCACTGATGAAGGGTGGATACTTGATCATTGTATGACTGAAATGTAAGCACAAAATTTTGTAAGTCTGTGACTGTATCCCACAGTGATTCATTTATATATATAAATATTTTTTAAAATCTATAAAATTCACAATATATTGTTATTTTCTTTACATCAGTCAATGATCTCTTAGAAAGTTTAAAAAATAGGAAAATTTGCTCCAGAGCCATAGTACAACTGATACGGCCCCTTGAGTAACACCAGAAGTTATTCCTGAGTGCAGAGCCAGGAGTAACCCCAGAGCAACACTGGGTGTGGCCCAAAACCAAAACAAAAAAGAAAAAGAAAATTAATTTCCTTTTGCCAAGTGATTATATTTTTTTGGTATTCTTTCTTTTGTTTAGATTCAAACTTCCTTCTGGTATTACTTTCTCACTTTTCTTCTGATCAAAGAATATTTCTTATAACATTGGTTGGTAATTATGCATTCAATTTTTACATGCCTGAAAATATATAGTTCTTTGTTTCTTTCTTCTTTTTCTTTTTTTGCTTTTTGGATCACAACCGGCAATGCACAGAGGTTACTCCTGGCTCTGCACTCAGGAATTACTCCTGGTAGTGATCAGGGGACCATATGGGATGCTGGGAATTGAACCCTGGTCAGCCACATGCAAGACAAACGCCCTACACACTGTGCTATCACTCCAGCGCCAGCTCTTTATTTCCTATTTAGATTTTTTTTTCCAGAATGGTTCAAATATTTTCTTTTCGGTTTTTTTCTAGCTTTATTTAAACACTGGTTACAAAGTTATTCATAAAATAGTTGTTTTGGGCATTCAATGTTCCAGCACCAATCTCACCACCAGTGTGACCTTCTTTCTACCACTGACAGTTTTCCATCCACCCTCCAAGACTGCCCCCTTAACAGGCACAAAATTATTTTATGTTGCTTGTTACAAAAAAAATTGTAAGTAGAATTTTTGTTTTAAGTTCAGTAAAAGAGAGTTTGGGGAAATTGCTGTATTTCACAATGGGGTTAAAGTCATTGTCTGAAGATTTACTGACCTGCTTGTTGCTAGTTGAGCCTGCAGTGTTGTTTTTGCTTGTTGAGCTTAATGCGCTTCTATGCTGCTCCTCTAATGTGCTGTGCTCCTATTAACTAGGCAATCAGTATTGGGGAATTTGGAGGTGTGGCACAACCACATGTACTGCTGTGTGTTTCAAGAGCTCCAGGATCCATAGAACTTGGATGATTCTTGGCCCACCCCCTTCCTGAGGAGGCCCCAGATCTTTCAGCCAGAAAAGTAGCATACCTTTCTTGTGACTTTCATCCACTTGGCATCTTGTTTGAAATTAGTAATAAAGCTGTTAAGCTGAGTCATTTACATGATGGAGGCTGTAGGATGTGGGTGGGAATTTTCTAATTCTTGTCTCTCTCATGCAATTCTTTGTTTTCCTTATTTTCTGTGACATACACAAACACTGCGGCAGGCCCAGTTCAGAGTTTTTTTTTCTCATAAAACACAGAGGTTTAATAATGCCCAAAAGTAGAGAGAGTATTCAGAGTATTGTCTGCCATGGAGGCAGTGGGAGGGCGGGAAAGGGGGGGTATACCGGGGATATTGGTAGTGGGGAATGAGCATTGGTGGAGGGATGGGTGTTTGATCATTGTGTGATTGTTACTCAAACATGAGAGCTTGTAACTATATCTCATGGTGATTCAATTAAAAAGAAATAAAAAGGTCTCTGGAAGTAGAGCTTTTGCCTTCCTCCAAACCTGTTTCTAGGTAGAAGCTCCTCCTTCAACCTCACAAGCAGCTTCAGTGAACAGTCCAGGTGGACTCAAGAACTCTCAGTTGTTTTCTTTATGCAGTTCTCCCCAATAGGTACTGTAGCACTGTAGCACTGTCCTCCCATTCATTGATTTGCTCCAGCGGCCACCAGTAACATCTCATAACATCTTGTTGTTACTGTTTTTGGCATATTGAATACGTCACGGAGAGCTTGCCAGGCTTTGCCATGCAGGCAAGATACTCAAGGTAGCTTCCCAGGCTCTCCAAGAGGGGCAGAGGATGTCGGCCAATGCCTTACCCACTGTGCTATCACTCCAGCCCTTGCATCTTGCAAAATAATAGTTAAATTTCACAATCAGTAAGTTTTACCAAAATCTGTTTGGTAGAGAATGAAGGTCACCAAACTGTCAAGCAATGTAAGAGACTCGTGATTCTATCTCCATATAACCAAGGATTAGCTCTCAGGGAACAAAAACAGCCTTGTATAGCTCTGAAATCCACTTAAGAAACTTGAACAATACAATGGACTGTCTCGATTAATGAAATAGAGGCAAGAGGGAGAGAGAGAGAGAGAGAGAGAGAGAGAGAGAGAGAGAGAGAGAGAGAGCAATCACTAGGACCAATAATAATGCAAGCATTGAGACCCAAACTACAATAATTAAACTTAAAAATATGCCTATTAAGAAGGTGGACTCCTGGGGCTGGAATGATAGCACAGCGGGTAGGGCGTTTGCCTTGCTCACGGCCAACCTGGGTTCAATTCCCAGCATCCCATATGATCCCCTGAGCACTGCCAGGAGTAATTCCTGAGTGCATGAACCAGGAATAACACCTGTGCATTGCTGGGTGTGACCCAAAAAGCAAAAAGAAAAAGAAAAAAAGAAAGAAGGTGGACTCCACAAACTTAGACGAGCCTCACCCATGAGTGATCGTATTCTAAATTTTTTTCTTCTTATATTTATTTATTGAATCACTGTGAGAAAAGTTACTAAGCTTTCAGGTTTAAGTCTCGGTCATACAATCATCAAACACCTCTCCCTTCACCAGTACTCATTTTTCACCACCCCAATATACCCCCCTCCCGCCCCTCCCAATGCCTGTGAGGCAGATGATTTCCACTTAACACTTCTCTACATTGATTACATTCATTATTTCAACAAAAGATGCACCATTATTGTTTAGAATTCCCCCCTCCCACCAACAATCAGAATTGCTGAAAAGGCATTGTGAAATACTTTGTTTTCTATAGCTGGTTATGAGAATCATATAATAATTTTGGATTTCTGCAAAGAAACAGATAATTACAAGATTGGTTTCTGTACATCTAGTGTTATGGCTGTGCCAGAGAGTCGCTCGTGAGGGGCAACTCAGGACCTCAGTAGAGCGTGAAGGACGAGCCGGTACCTCCCCCCTTCCCATGAGACTGCAGTTGCCCCGTCACCACTGGCTCATACCTGGCTTTCCAATAAGCTCTGAGGCGGCAGCCACCTTGCTCCCAGGGGTGGAGGGGAGGAAAGCGGAAGGGAGCAACACCCTTTCCCTCCCAGGGAGGCATGATGCCATAGTTTAACGCATGACCATTCACTTTTCTGCCGCACGCTGCAAGGCTCTGGATTAAGTTCTTTGCCTCTGGAACCATGGCCGTGCCAGAGAGGCACTTGTGGGGGGCAACTCGTGACCTCAGTAGGGCGTGAAGGACGGGCTGGTACTGTCCCCCTTCCCATGAGACTGCAGTTGCCCCGTCACCACTGGCTCATACCTGGCTTTCCAATAAGCTCTGAGGCGGCAGCCACCTTGCTCCCAGGGGTGGAGGGGAGGAAAGCGGAAGGGAGCAACATCCTTTCCCTCCCGGGGAGGCATGGCACTGTGGTTTAACGCATGGTCCATTCACTTTTCTGCCACAAACTGCTGGGCTCTGGATTAAGTCCTTTTGCCTCTGGAGCCATGGCCATGCTGGAGAGCCGCTCATGGGGTGCAACTCGTGACCTCAGTAGGGTGTGAAGGACGAGCCAATACCACTCTCCTTCCCATGAGACTGCAGTTGCCCCGTCACCGCCAGCTCATACCTGGCTTTTCAGTAAGCTCTGAGGCGGCGGCCACCTTGCTACCAGGAGGGGAAAAGGTGGTAGGGATCAACACCCTTTCCCTCCCATGGAGGCATGGCGCCATAGTTTAACGCATGGTCCATTCACTTTTCTGCTGCAAGCTGCCGGGCTCTGGATTAAGTCCTTTTGCCTCTGGAGCCATGGCAATGCCAGAGAACTGCTTGTGGGGGACAACTCATGACC